TGTTATTCCATGTTTACAGATGCCCCAAGCATAATATTTGCACAAATTCACCTTTGGTTGAGAATTGTTGGGAGGTGTGTTGTCAATTTCTGCAGGTTCTGGGACTGCACTATAATCCTTAGTATCCAAGCCAGGGCCACCCCGTCCTGGATTCCATCTACTTTCCCCAGTAGAGGAAGAAGGAGGAGACTCCTCTCCAACATCTGTACTGTAGGGAAGTTATTTTTTATATTTTTTTTATTAACACATCGGCAGTCTCCCACCAAGGTTCGGTGGGGCAAAAAAGAAAAACTTTCACCATCATTCACTCCATTACTTTCTTGCCAGAGCCGCACTCACATTACAGTTATAAAACTGCAACATAAACACCCCTCCTTCAGAGTACAGACACTGTACTTCCCACCTCCAGGACTTAACTCCGGCCTGCCGGTTTCCCTGAATCCCTTCATAAATGTTACTTTGCTCACACTCCAACAGCACGTCAAGTCCTAAAAACTATTTGCCACCATTTGCTATCTAACACGCTCACGCATGCTTGCTGGAAGTCCAAGCCCCTCTCACAAAAAACCTCCTTTATCCCCTCCCTCCAACTTTTCCTAGGCCTACCTCCACCCCTACCTTCCCTCCACTACAGATTTATACATTCTCGAAGTCATTCTATTTTGTTCAGTCCTCTCTACATGTCCAAACCACCTCGACATCCTCAGCCCTCTGGATAACAGTTTTGGTAATCCTGCACCTTCCTCCTAATTTCCAAATTACGAATTCTCTGCTGTACATTAACATTTCATTTCAAAGCAGGTGAAATTGCAGATCTAGAGAGTGTACAGAGATCCTTTACTTCACGTATAAGTTCTATTAAGCACCTGAACTACTGGGAACACTTGGAAGCACTTGACTTGTACTCGTTGGAATGCAGTCGAGAGAGATACAGTATATCATAATCTACACTTGGAAAATCCTGGAAGGAATGGTCCCGAATCAACACACAGAAATCACTCTCTACGAAAGTTAAAGACTGGGCAGGCGATGCAAAATACCCCTAAATAAAAGTAGGGGCGCCATTGGCACACTAAGAGAAAACACCATAAGTTTCCGGGGCCCAAGACTGTTCAACAGCCTCCCACCAAGTATAAGGGAATTACCAATAGGTCCCTGGCTGCCTTCAAGAGGGAGCTGGATAGATACCTAAAGTCAGTGCCGGATCAGCTGGGCTGTGGTTCGTACGTTGGACTACGTGCTGCCAGCAGTAACAGCCTTTGTTAATCAGGCCCTTATCCACCGGGAGGCCTTGTCGTGGACGGGGCCGCGGGGGCATTGATTCACGGAATAACCTCCAGGTAGACTACAGGCAGGTATATTCACACCACACATTGAACTTAGACATAACATCTCCACTGCCTCCAGCCTTCTCCTAGTTGCAACATTCACCACCCATGCTTCGCATCCACATAAGAGCGCTGGTATAACTATACTCTCATACACTCTCCTCTTTGCTTCCATGGTCAAAGTTTTTTGTCTCCATAGACTCTTAAGTGCACCACTCACCTTTTTCTCATCAATTCTATGATTTGCCTCAACTTTCACAGACCCATCTGCTGACACATACACTCATAAATATCAGAATATATTTCCCTCCTTCATACTCTCACCCTCCAATGTGATATCCAATCTTTCGCTACCTATTTTTTTGTTATCCTCATAACCTTATTCTTTCCTATATTCACTTTTAATTTACTTCTTTTACATTCCCTACCATATTCACTCCACCAACCTCTGCAACTTCCCCTCAGAATCTCCCAAGAGCACAGTGTCATCAGCAAAGAGCAACTTTGACAACTCCCACACCTCTTGCCAAATCCCGAGCCTTCACTTCTCTTACAACTCCATCTATAAATATTTTGAACAACCATGGTGACATCACACATCCTTGTCTAAGGCCTACTTTTACTGGGAAATAATCTCCCTCTTGCCTATATACTCTAACCTGAGCCTCACCATCCTCCTAAAAACTCTTCACTGCTTTCAGTAACCTTCCTTGTATTCCATACTTTTGCAACATCTGCCACATTGCCCCCCTATCCACCCTATCATATGCCTTTTCCAAATCCATAAATTCCACAAAAACCTCTTTATCCTTATCTATATACTGTTCACCTATATGTTTCACTGCTATCCTACTCTCCGTCTTACTCTTAATTTTTTTCAGTAACTCTACCATGCACTTTACCAGGTATACTCAACTTATTCCCCTATAAATTTTACACTGTTTATACAAAGGAACTATGCATGCTCTCTGCCAATCCCTAGGTACCTTACCCTCTTCCATACATTTATTAAATAATTGCACCAACCACTCCAAAATTATATCCCCTCCTACTTTTAACATTTCTATTTTTATCCCATCAATCCCAGCTGCCTTACCCCCTTTCATTTTACCTACTGCCTCACGAACTTCCCCCACACTCACAAATGGCTCTTCCTCACTCCTACAAGATGATATTCCTCCTTGTCCTATACACGAAATCACAGCTTCCCTATCTTCATCAACATTAATAATTCCTCAAAATGTTCCCTCCATCTTCCCGATACTCTAACTCTCCATTTAATAACTCTCCTCTCCTATTTTTAACTGACAAATCCATTTGTTCCCTAGGCTTCCTCAACTTATTAATCTCACTCCAAAATTTTTTCTTATTCTCAGCAAAATTTGTTGATAACATCTCACCTACTCTGTCATTTGCTCTCTTTAAACATTGCTTCAAAACTCTCTTAACCTCTCTTTTCTCTATATATATACTCTTCCCTCTTTGCATCACTTCTGCTTTGTAAAATCCTCTCATTTGCTTTGCTAATCTCAAGGACAGAGATAGATACCTGAGAGGCAAAAGAGTTGGAGGTGACTGAGGAAGTTGTGAAACTAGAGACTGTGGAAGTAGGTACCACCGAAGTTGGAGGTCTCTTAGTAACTCTAGAATAAGAAAGTGGTGGAAGTCTCCCCTGGAGGCGAGGATGTGAACTGCCATGACATATGTGAAACCTTTCTCTTGAAACAACAAATTTGCCGTTCTTTTATGTAAACTTGGCAATGGCGAGAAAAAGCCGGATGAGCCTCACTGAAAATAAGGCAAGAGGGATTCAGTTTGCAGGATGTATTTGTATGGTCGTCACCACCACAGACTGGGCACTATCATGAACCTGCAATATTTTGCTGGGTGGCCAAAGTGCCAGCAACTTCTACACTGTTGTGGTGTAGGAATTAACTCTTGGACTTGGAGACGGTGTACCGGAGCATAAACGGAGGACGGAAGCTCACGACAGGCGAGTGACATTGCAGGGTAGCGTCTCCGCCCGCGAGCAGGTAGTATATACGTGTCTAATTTGAGAACTGGAAAGTCTTGGAGCTCAAGCCGTTCCAGAATGTCGTCACCACATGTCTGGAAATTACGCTGGAAAATTATATGATATAGAATGATGGTACCACTATAAGAGTTGAGAGAATGGCGTTTTTGAATTATTACAGGGATAGAATCGACTACGATAAGGAGAGAAAGATTATGGGTTTGGCTAGCATTTTGTACCATGATGATGCGTGCATTGCTTATGAGAGCATGAAATGAAATATTTTGACCAATATTGCTTCGGAGCGCCTTGCTCATACTACGATCTGAAAGATAATCAGTAGATGTCGGCCGAAGAGTAAAAAATTTAGCCCATTGTGTACCTTGAAACGTAGTGTGTTAAGGAAGTGAGTGTTGTGCAGGTCTTTTCTAGGCAGAGTGAGAAGTAATAGTAATGTCAACATTTAATGATCTTGCTCCGACTTGAGATGGACAGGCGATCCAAGAATCGTCGCACCGTAGAGGGAGAAGCTGGAAGCATGGTCAAAGAAGTGCAGAGGTCTGATATATCAAAGGAATCAGGAGGAACCTCGGTACCTGGAATTGGTGACGAAACAGCACCAGCAGAGGGTGCAGAAGCATTTGAAAGGTCCGAAAAATGGTTAAAAAATGAGAGAGGATCAGAACAGGGTGCGGAAGCAGAAAGGGAGCCAGGAGGAGCTGGTTCATGGAGTTGGGACTCCATGGTTATGTCACTTCTTTCTTCGTATTTTTTAGGAGAAAAAAAAAAGAAAGAAAAAAAAAGAATAAATAAACGGGGAACGTGGAGGGATAACTTCTAGAGGAACGAAAGGGCCGAAAATCCCCCTCCATGCCCAAGAGGACTACAGCACCACCAGTAGTGCAGATGCAACATGGAACCTGTGCCATGCCCTACTCTTCATACCAGTAAACCAGCAATCCGGGACAGCAACCTCACATCTACCGAGTCACCTCTACAGACAAAAGACAGGTCGGTCGGATTCCCGCCACAAAGCATACCTCCTTCGGCCACCACCTCTCGGGATCCGACAGGCAGCCTCTAGAGATACACCTGTCACCAGAAAGACACCCAAGGCCACTCCCCGAGGACCGGAGAGTGGTTGAGACATCCCCAGTTGGTCCAGATTCCACTGCAAACTACACCACCACCAAGGACCTCAATGGGATAGACCATGGTACCTTCCCCCCTACTTAGGAACTAGAATGCCTGAAGAAAAAAACCCAAAGGTTGAAAACAGGATGGGGATAGGGGAGGTATAAGAAGAGGAGAGGGAAAGGGAGTGAAGGGATGGGGAGGAAAAGATAAAGAAGGGGGGATTGGGGGTAATCAGGTTCGGTCTGAGGAAGATGACCAAAAGGTCCAATTCCTCAGACCAGTAGCCTTCCTACCATGACAAGGAACCCCCCCCCCCTTAAAGAGCCGTTAATCATCTGAGAAAATGCTCACCATACTGAACTCATAAACATGACCGGTTGTGGATAGAAGGACCCGTTTTCCTTCCCTAACACAAAACAAGCCTCATACGCAGGCTGCTGGTGAGGTATAGATCGATAAATCTTGGTTCCAGTCGTATGTAAACCACGACTTAAAGACTGAATACTAATTCCCGACCTTACCTGAATCGCTATGTAATCGCCGAAGCCAATTGTGGAAAAGGAGATGTAGCAGAAGTAGACGGACTCAAAGTAGCTCCAGTTCTCTTCCTGGAAAAGACAAGAGGACCATTACCCCTGAAGAAACCTTTGTGTATTTACTTTCTTTCTGCCGTAGTGCATTCATATTTCTTAATTATTTCACCTCTGTGAATGAAATTCAAAATTGAGAATGTTTTTTGTATTTCCAAATTTGCAATCTTGTATTGAAAGGCTACTTGATCGGTTTGCCTTTAATAGTTATCCGTACATTTAGTGTTTATCTGATTTTTATTTTTAATCTAAAAATTTCCTCCAGAACTTGAGAATGCCTCTTCTGATAAGCTTGAAATTTGTAACCCTGGTGTACCGTACGAAGAGGAAGGCTTAATGAGACATACGGCTGTACTGGCGCCTCTCCACCAGATTTATAGACTAAAATGTGATTTAGGTTTTCGTGCAATAACCTGAGGAGGCCTAGTTATAGAGAAAGATTTTGTTAATGGAGTGTATGGGTGCCTATTTCTAAATAAAAATTATTCTCTATAACATAACTAAAAAAGGAGAAGAAACTAGAGGACTCTTGTGCTCAGCTTAATTTTTTTAGCACTGTCGAATTTTGTGCAGTAAAATGTTCACTGTCGAGGACTCAATATGTTAATTTTATTAAAAATATTAGGATCTTGGTTTCTGTGAGATAACTAAAGAATACTACTACTGATCGGCTTCAAACTCAACGCTTGTGTATCGTACTTCGAAAAAGATTCGGATTTGTTTTGAACTGCATTCGTTCCAATATGCTGTTTTTATTGATCCCATTTTGATATTGGTTTCTGTGTAATTACTTGAGAATGCCTCATCATATCGGCTTGTAACTTTCAACTCTTTAAATAATTCAATTGATCTCTATGATGTAAAAATCCCACTCCCCTCCCTTGAAAATCCCAGACTCTGTTCGGAGAGTGATTCCTCTCATATTTTTAGTGTTTGGCTGGGTTGAGTTCTAACTCTTGTGCTTCTTGAGGTTGACCTACAGTTCCTGGCTCTTTTTCATGATGCTAAGCTACATGAACTAGATTGTGTTTTCATCGGAAATTTAAGAGCCTCTTGAAGCTGTTGGGTTACAGCTCCTTGATCTTTTAACATCGTTAAATAATGGCTTCCAGTGTTGTTGTGGGAGTTGAGCTGTAGCTCCTCAGTTCATGAATTTCTTGGTACGATATAGGGCGTAATGACAGTTGTTGGGTATACTTCAGGATGTACACGTTTATAGAGTGACCAGAGATAGATAATTTTTTAGCTATGGCTACAGTGAGAGCAAAAGATAGATGGGATACAAGGAGAATGGCATCAGCAAGTAAGAGAGAGGTGAACGTTTATTAACTAAAGGAGGAGGTAGTTAGGGTAAGATATAAGCAACTATTGGCAGAAAAATGGGCTAGTGAGAGTACAGGCAACGAGGTTGAATAAGTATGGGATAGATTTAAGAATGTAGTGTTAGAGTATTCGGCAGAAGTTCGTGGTTACAGGAAAGTGGGTGCGGGAGGGAAGAAGAGCAATTAGTGGAATGATGAGGTAAAGAGAGAAAAAGTTAGCATATGAGAGGTTCTTACCAAGTAGAAGTGTTACAAGGAGGGAGGAGTATATGGAGAGAAAAAGAAAGGTTAAAAGAGTGGAAAAGGAATGAGAAAGGAGAGCAAATGAGAGAGTGGGTGAGATGCTATCAACAAAGTTTGATGAGAATAAGAAAAATTTTGGAATGAGATTAATAAGTTAGGAAACCCTAAAGAAAACTGCCGATGTGTTAATAAAATACATATATATTTAGAACGAAAGAGAGAGAGAGAGAGAGAGAGAGAGAGCAATATCCCAGAAACAAGTACCATATATAATAATGCTTGGTTAAGATAAGATAAGATTTCGTTCGGATTTTTAACCCCGGAGGGTTAGCCACCCAGGATAATCCATAAAAGTCAGTGCTTCATCGAGGACTGTCTGTCTTATTTCCATTGTGGTCCTCAATCTTGTCCCGAGGATGCCACCCACACCAGTCGACTAACACCCAGGTACCTATTTGCTGCTAGGTGAACAGAACAACAGGTATAAGAAAACGCGTCGAAATGTTTCTACCCCTCCGGGAATCGAACCCGGGCCCTCCGTGTGTGAAGCGAGAGGTTTGCCAGGCAAGCCACGGGGTCACCTCGATGAGTAAGACATGGGGAACGGTTGTGTATCTTTACCTCCTGTTTCTGTTGTCTCCAATATTAAAGTTCTCTGTGTGTTCTATGGAAGAAACCTACTGAGCAGGCGATACGTTTCGACAGTAAAGGTACCCATATGCTGCACGAGCGTCTTCTTACTCAGGTACTATGTAGCTCCCTCGAGCCAACCTCGTGTAAACAGAACGATAATACAACACTCGAAGACTTCCACTGACCTTCATGTACAATACGGCGCCAAGAACGATGAGGATGATAGAGAAGATGATGAGGTAGAACATGTCCCAGTACAACGAGGGTTTATAAGTGTCCAACTCTTCATCGTCATCGTCGTCTTCTTCGTCATTAGAATCTGTCGTCTCTCGTCGCTTGATCTTGACCACTGCGTCTTTCTTGGTCGCTGCCTTTGCCTTCCTCTGTTCCTTCCAGTCGTGATGCGCCCTGAAGGAAGGTTGGTTGGACTACGTAAAGAAATGGATTAACCTTATTTTGGGAAGTTCCCTAAGTAACATACAAGTGTTAGGAGTCTCGAGAAAAGAGAGTGAGAGAGAAAATTGCAGAGTGATTATAAAATAAACTGTTGAAAGTAGTTACAGGAGACGTTTGTCGATATTTACGAGGTCAGTTCGTATTGACTCGTGTCTAGCGAGCTATTGATTGGGTTTCCAGCCGGGTCGTTTTACTGTCTCAAGTTTACTGCCTCTTAAACTAACCTTCAGGAAACTCCCTAACATTTTACATCCTATACTTCATCCGTATTTTCCCTACAACAGTATGCAATTATCAAATTTCTTAGCCTTCCCTTTCAGTTTGTAATATGAAGGAAGTTTTACACTTTTTGTGTGTTATCCGACAGACAATCTCTTGTACCCTTCATTCAGCAACGTTCTTGTTTAAACTAAAGTGTGTTGAACAGACACATGCCTCAGTTTACACAGTTATTCGTTCGAGAATAATGCTATCCGTCCCGAGACCTCAGTCATAATGTCTGTATACAGACTCAAATGCTCCTGCTTAATTATTAGTTACATCTCACTAATCTTTGTATTCAACTTATTGTAGCAACCGTTAACTTACCACCACTTTATGTTTGCTCTTCATTTTGATATTTCTTTAATACCATATCAGTCTCTCATGTAATTCTTCTTCACATTTTCTAAGCCACTTCCTCATAAGATAAACTCTGCTTCTCTGGTGAATCAGAAATATGCAGCACGTTTTTATTTTGTAGACGTTCCGCCATCCAGTGGATTTGTCAATACTTTGGCAAGAAGGGAAGACTGTAAAAGAGGAGGTAATCAGTCCCTAAGCCTCGTAGAACTACATAACATAGGAGAAAATGAGGTAAAGTTTCTCTCATTTGTTGAGCACCGTATTCAAGATGAATCTGAAGCACAGGTAGGAAGATGAGTGCTTATATACTGGAGTGAGAAGAGGTGTAGCAGATGAAGGCATTGTCACTGGTAGGCAAAAGCGTGGTAGAAAGAAGAGTGAAAAAAAAAGAAATCGTGAGATATGGGAGGACTGCTGGGCTAGGAATCGACTGTGGACATCACACTGCTGTCAAAATATCTTCATGCGCATGAATGCAGAGCTCCCACACGCTCGTACAGGCAACCACAAGCACACATCAGCTGAAAGATTAAATCATCTAGTCCCAGTCAGTATTGTTATAGTGGGTAGGCGAAGATGCCTGAAACGTCTCTATCCTCAGTCTGGTACAGATATGAATGGTGGAAAAAGACGAGAAGCTTGAGGTAAACAGCCCCTCAGCCTGGAGTCAACGTGTTCAGTCTACCAGTCTTGATGGATTCAACACATTGACTTGATGGCTGAGGAACTGTTTACCTCAAATTCCTTCTGTTCTTCCACCATTCATTTCTGTACCACACTGAGGAAGCCACTTGTTGGCTGAACGTTTCCACAATAAAGATACCCAAGTCTTGCACATGTGTCTCAATCTCCCTGTTATTGTCGGCTGATGAGGGACAGCAGCTAGAGCGTTTAACCCCAGCAGTGAATGATCGTTGGTAAGCCTGGGGTGAGTGTTGGTAAGCCTGGGATCTCAGCAAAGAGTCACAAAATAAAAACAAGATCGGAGTACAAGACAAACTCAAACTACTCAGTAGAACGTAAGTCAAATGTGAGACCTGGAAGTTACAATGTCAAATGATCTCACGTTTAAGGAAAACAAAATTTGATTAGAGCAACTGCTGGAAAAATGAGATGTGCTATGATAATGATGACACTCTTCAGGTTACTCGTTCTCTCTAGGCAGGAGTATTGCTGTGTACTAACGGCCCCATCAAGGCAGAAGAAACTGCTGAGCTGGAGAATGTGCAGAGAACCTTCACAGCTCTGAGTCCTTATAACTGTACTCCCCAGAACATAGGCAAGAAAAAATCATCGTAATACTGGAGGGATTGGTCCCATACCTTCACACCGAAATAACTACTTATGAACAAAAGAGGTTTGGCAGATGGTGAGGATATGCCAATGAGTATCCTGAGACATAATTCAGATTCTTCAACGCCCTCCTTTCACGCATAAGGGAATCACCAACATATCCTTAGCTATCTTCAAGAGAGGATTCGATAGATTCCTCAGCCAGGTTGTTGTGCATACGTTGGACTGTGGTCAACAATAACTTGATTGATAAAGCCTGGTCTGGGATTAGGTTGCAGGACGGGGACCTCCGGAAGCGACTACAGGTAAACAACAGGCCCATCTTTGAGCATGTAGCACCAGCATGGAACCTTCGACTGATAAAATATATTAGAACTCGGGAGAGGTGTGCATCAAAGCTTGTTGCAGAGTTAAGGTGAATGAGCAATGTTAAGAAACTACAGATGCTGAACTTTACAACATAAAAACCAGGGAAGACGTGATAACGACATGCAAAATACTCAGTGTTTTTGCTTAGGTGGACACGCATAGACAGTAATAAAGCAAGAAAGGAAGCGTGAGGGCACTTGCATGAAAATTTCAACACCAACACGTAAGTCATTTTTCCAGCTGAAGACTCAGGTGCATAACGGACAGAATGGAATGAGCACTCTGAAACGAGATTTTACGAATGTAGGATGGAATGACAAAGAGGACAGTTCATACAGAGCTTTACAAGAGGTTATGACAGTATCCACAAGGTAGGAAATCCAGCAGTGCCAGGAGCTGAGACTTCACCCCTGCAGTCACAAATAGGTGAATGCACAATATACATGCGTTCACACACACACAACACCTACCATCATGGGGGACTCAATCAAGGAAGAGACTGGAAAATATCTGGACCTCATGGGGGAACCTGAAAATGGAGGGAGCAAGATGTGGAAACAATTGAAAACTTATGCACAGACATTTAGGGATACAACCAGAGAGGAAGTGTAGACGAGGAATTTTGCAGAGACGTGGATCACATATCGAATCATAAGCAGTTCGGACATAGGGGAATCAACATGAAGACCCCTGAGCGAAAGTGACAAGAAAACAGTAATGATTTGAATAATTTGATAGAAGTTAACAGGAAGAATTCAGCATAACGGAAGAAAAGGAGAGCCAAGCTCAAAAAAGGGAACTACATAGGGATGAGGAGATTCCTGCATGAAATACAGTGGGAAAGAGAACTAGAGAGAAAGACAGTAAATGAAATGATGGAACTAATGATGACTAAGAACAGGGAGGCGGAGGAGAAGTTCACACCAAAGGGTAACAGAAAAAATTGTGAGACCAGAGTGAGCCCATGGTTTAACTGGAGTTATTAAGAGGCGAAAGCCAAGTGTGTTAGAGAATGAAAAAAAAATATATAAAAAGCAGAGGACTCAATAAAACAAGGAGTTGAGCAGAAAAGCTAGAAACGAATATGCAGGGATTAGGAGAGGCTCAGAGGCAGTACAAGAATGGCATAGGATCAAAAGCCAAATCAGAACTAAAGTTGTTATAAAGTCACATTAGAAGGAAAACAACAGTCAAGGACCAGGTAATCAGGCTGAGGAAAGAAGGAGAGGAGCTGACGAAGAGTGACCAAGACGTATGTGAAGAAATTAACACAAGATTTAGAGAAGTATTCACAGTAGAGACTGGAATGTTTCCATTAAACCGAGGAGGTAGGGTGCACCAGCAAGTGCTGAACACAATACACATAACCAAGGAGGAGGTGAAGAAACCACTAGGTGAACTAGATACCTCGAAGGCGGTGGACCCGGATAACATATCTCCATGGATCCTGAGTGTGGGAGCAGAAGAACTGTGTGTGTCGCCAGCAGCAATCTTCAGTAAATCTATCGAAACAGAGCAACTGCCTGAGGCGTGGAAGACAGCAAATGTAGTTAAAATTTTTAAGAAAGGAGGCAGACAAACCAATGTCACTGACATGGATAGTATAGAAAGTCATGGTGAAATGTGGTGGAGCACATTAACAAGGACTGGGCTTATACATGACTGTCAGCACGGCTTCAGGGATGGGAAATCCTGTGTATCAAATCTACTTGAGTTCTACGATAAGGCAACTGAAGTAAAACAGGAGAGAGAGGAATAGGTAGATTGCAAATGTTTGGAATGCAAGAGATTGATTCAAAAATTGGAGGAGCAGGCAGGAATAGTAGGGAAAGTACTGCAATGGATCAGGGTATACCTGACAGGAAAGAAACGTGTCGGAGTGGGCGTATGTGTCAAGTGGGGTTCCACAAGGATCGGTAGTTGTTCTGGTGCTGTTTCTTATATACGTGAATGACATGAGGAAAGGAATAGTTTCAGAAATATTGCTGTTCGCTGATGATGTGAAAGTGATGAGAATACAAGCGGGTGAGGATCAGGAAAGATTACAAGGGGATCTGGACAGACTACAAATCTGGTCCAACGAATGGCTCCTGGAGTTTAACCCCAGCAAATGCAAAAGTCCTGAACACTGGGGAAGGACAAAGAAGACCACAGACGGAGTACAGGTTACTGAAGCAAAGGCTGAAAACTTTACTTAAAAAAGGGTCTTGGGGTAAACATTATACCGAGCACATCACCTGAGGCACACATCAATCAAATAACTGCTGCAGCATATGAGCGCCTGGCAAACCTGAGAATAGCATTTCAAGATTTAAGTAAGGAGTCATTCATGACATTGTACACCGTGTACGTCAGACCCATATTGGAGTATGCAGCACCAGTCTGGAACCCACACCTAGTCAGACACGTCAAGAAATTGGAGAAAATACAGAAGTGTGCAACAAGACTAAGCCCAGAATTGAGGGGTATGTCTTACGAGGAGAGGTTAAGGGAAGTCAACCTGATGACGCTACAGGATAGGAGGAATAGGGGGGACATGATAACGACATATAAAATACTAAGAGGAATTGACAAGGTGGACAGGGCTCGAATATTTCAGAGATAGGACACAAGAACAAGGGGCAACAACTGGAAACTGAAAACCCAGATGAGTTGTAGAGATGTTA